CCGCCGCTACGACGACACCGCACGACACACGCGCGGCGGCCGCATCGTCATCTCGTCACCGCGTACCGCCCGCCCGCACGACGACGTCCTCGCGTTCGTTTGCGCGCGCGCCCGTGTGTGTTTGTGTGTCAGCAGCAGCAGCAGCAGCAGTTCGCCGCCGCCGCCACCGCCGTCAGCCGCGCGCAGCAGTCACACACCGTTTCAGTACGCGGTCTGTTGTGTTCGGCCGCACGTCGTTACACCGTCGTCGTCGTTGTCGTCATCGTCGCCGCGTCGCATCGTCGTCGCGTTCAAATCGGTTTTTTTTTTTTTTTTTTTTCGTCTTAGCCCTCGAAACGTGCGTCGCACCGCGCGACAAAAAACGATCGCGTTCTCACGTCGTTCGTGTCGATTGGGCTCGCAGCGAACGGTGCGTTTTTTTTATATTTTCGGTTTTCGCGTAAATTTTTTTTTTCTCTTTCGTAACCCTCCGTCGTTCGCGAAACCCCTCCCCGCCCACCGGAGTGCGACGTTTCCCGGACCGTTTACGTACGCGCATAATACGCGTACACGTATAATTCATGTGTACGCGCGCGTGTGCTGTGTGACGACCACCGTCGACGGGATCGCGAGGGTTTTGCGGCCGTAACGCGTGTCCGTCCGAGGAGAGGCAGTCGGGTTTCGCGCGCGCGTCTGTTCCGATCTCGACTGTTTGATGGTTATACACGGAGCCGCCACGGGAATCGCTCCAGCCGACCACGTTCATCGGACCACTGAATCCTTGTTCAACACCGGTCAGTAGTACCTGCACAGTGTGCACAGTCAGTAAATAATAAGTTTGTAATACGCGTCGTCGGCGACCGCGGGATCGAAAAACCGGTGCGTCATGTAATCCGTTTATGGGACACGTTACGCGGCCCCCGGCACAGGTGTGATTTTCACGTGCAAGGTTTTGGACGCGCGGCCGGAACGATCGACCCGATGGCCGAGTCCACCCGGTGCAAACGTATCGTTAAAACGTGCACGTCGGGTACACCTCGTGTTTCAGCCATCGGTTTATCGACGTGTCGACCGACGGCGGTGTTAGCATACAGCTTTTCGTTCCGGTGACCCGAAAAACTTCTTCTCTGCAACAATGACCGTTCGCGACCACGAATTTCACGTATGGGACGATCGGTGTTATATGGGTACGGATATCCGTTGTCCGGGTCTACGGTTTTTTCGAAAATTCTCGGTCGCATTATCTCTCCCGTTTAAAATATCAATTATCGTTCCGTGTGCTTTTGACGGAACGATTCGTTCTATTAGTACCACGTTTGGTTTTCATGAAATCCGTACGTTTTAAAACCATTAACTAAATATAGAAGACGTTTTTTCTGACATTCGATGAACATCACACTGTTTTATACGGTCGGGTTAACAATATTTCCGATACTATCGTACGCGATAACGAAATGTAGAACTCGAGATATAGTTCTTACATTTTTCCGTATATAAATAGGTATTACGTACCCCTATCGTTCACTATTGCTGTGACATCGTGTTGTACACGTATTTTGATGTACCAGTATAACGTGTTTACACATCGTTCCCGCGGTTAATAAAACGAATAAAATGTTCAACTTTTATTACGAATTATTAATATCATAACTCGTCGAATGAAACGACAAAATATTTTTATTTTTTTTACTCGCTTTTTAATAATTTATAATAAAGATTTAATAATATTTAATTTTTCAAAGTATACACACCTGAATAATATTAATGTATTAATTTTGTTTTGTGCACGATCAATTTATTATAATTATTTAAATATATTTCTATTAATATGTTGTATATGAAACGTTATTTCAACCGTATATGTGCTTTTAATTTTTATAAATCATGTTTTATCTTTTAAAATTATCTAAAAATATTGTTTCGAGAATTTATTAACGGTCTAACCAGAAAACATGCGTTTACAATACGTACAAGTCTGAACTCCTAGTTCTTGGTCGCTAAATGAACATGAGAACCGTTGTTCACAGGCAAACGCGATAATAATTGTTATAAAAAAATTCTAACGCGAAGAGTGATCAACGTACAATATTATATTCGAGTTTATTACCTCGTGTTTGGTATACGAATTATGCCAAAAAAAGCGAGTTGTATAAATCAACGATTCTCAAACTTTTCTCAGCCACAGAGCCTTTTTTAAGCAACCCTAAAAAATATTTAATGTTAAGTTTTATTTGTTTGTGTTCTATGAAAACATGAAGATGTTACACATGATTTGTTTACAGGAGAAAACTCATAACGAGATAATCTATTTTTAACGTTGTATCAATACATACATTGTACCTGGCCGGGTAATACCTGGAATGCGTATTAGCTAAAATTAAACAATTATATTTTTTTTATCGGGATTTTAATATTTGTACTCGTATCGATGAATTATATTTGATTTAACGGGGTCGGTTTTAAATACCGATAAACAACAATTATTGCTGTATAAAATTTTTTATGGCTAAACGAGCCCTTGTGAAACAGTTGAGGAGTTTGTGGACCCGTGATATAAATAGATATCCGCACGTGTATTATTGTACACAAGTTTACCGTGCACGTTCTTATCATGCACCTCGGGTATTGTTCGCATGAATAATATTTTAAGGACAACTTCGTGGAATATTCAACGAGAGACTACTACGCCCCGTGGGGGTTTGTCTAATAATAGTTGTGATGTAGCTTAATAATAGTATACAATATTAAATAAAAAAAATAAATATTATTTAATATATATTTAAATATCGCGTATTTGTGTGTGATGTTACGATTTATGAGACATGTTTAAAAATGGGAAAATAAAAATTACAAATAAAATGTGTGGAAAATTGGGAAATATTCTAATGCAGCTTTTACAAATTTAATTAAATTCAAAAAATGTATAAATTCAAATAAATATATGTACATCTATTTTCTTTTTTATTTACCTAATTTGAACTTGAACATTGATACTTAGTCTTAACATACTCATATTAATCACAAAAAATAATGCTCTACTGACGATTGTAATTTATAATGTTTTAATTCTATTATTTTTGGGAAGAATATTTATTTGTTTTACGTTAATTAATTTTGACATATTTATTTTACACCAAAAATTAAAACATTGGTATGTTGTGTTGTTATCGTTGTTATTCATACAATTAGTAATATAATATTTTATAACTTGAAGTTTCTATACGGATCATAGGATTCATTTTATATATAAAAATAAGAAGATTTATGACATTACTAAAAAATTTTACATATTTTTAAGATTGTTTTGATTTCCGTTTGTTTTTCATGTACATTTTCTAAAAATATTAAGTGCGTTTGATTTGCAGTTTTTAAATGTTTTCGTCTGATGAAAGCATATGAAATTCTACTGTGATCTAATAATGTGTCTAAAAATAATGATAGGTAATAAGATATTCAACATTGTTACGGGGGACGTGTTTAATAAAACGGTTTTCACTGTGAAAACTTTTTCGAATGCGTTGAGTTATCATTCATATGGTATGAAATCAATTCGAGCAACACGAATGTAACAAGATAACCCGTGGTTCGAGAATTTGAACCCAACACGTTATTGAGTTTATTGTTGCGGACTTTTGATTCGTACGGACGTTAGTCGAAAACCTATGCAACGAACGTTGAACGCGCGCGCACTTTACATACGGTTTAATAATCGTCAACTCCTGTTCGGAAAACTTCGCACGATCCTAGGCGCACGTTCCTATGAATTCGATTCTTATTTGTATAGCATACGCGGCAGAAGGGTTTTGCGAACCCAATAGTTTTCCCGTAATCGTGAACCCCTCCCCCCCCTGCAAGCGACGAGTACCTGATTTCCCGGGGTCGCGGTTGTGCGGTACGTTGTGAATACACGTGCGAGTAGCGAGTACGGGCGCGGGCGGGTACATGTATCGGATAGAAATAAAAATAGGGGGAGGACGGTCGGTGTCGCGTGCACAGAGCAATGACAACGCGCGACGTCGTCCCCGGGTGTCGCGCGACAGTGGGCGGAGCCGGCGGCGCGGTTCGGATGCGCCGCGACCCCCCTCCGTCCGGCCACCGGTTCCGGTCCCTCCCTCTCTTCACCCTCCCCATCCCCTCATCGTAGCGAGCCGAAGGTTGTCGCGTTGTCGTCGTGCCCGTGGGAGGGGTCCGATCCGCGGGACGTCCACCGCCGCCGCGGTGTTCTCCGGGACGAGAGAGCGGGGTCGCGCGCGCATGCGAATCGGCTCGGCGGAGACATAACGCGTACCTGGGCACGCGCGGACAGTACCGTCCTGTTCGCCGGGCGACACTTCGGTAACCGTCCTGTCGTCGCCACCGCCGAGCGCGCCGCACGCACACGCGCACTGGGCATAACGGATCGCGTCGAGCGCGCGCGTTTCCACCTTTTCCGTGTCGTCGTCGTCACCGTCGCCGTGTCCCGTCACCCACACCGGCTCGAGGAGCCATCCCACACCCACCGCACACATACGCGCCGAACCGGCCGCCCGACGTTACACGCTAGCGCCGCCACCGCCACCGTTGCCCGGTGTTCGATCGATTGACCCACTTTGCCGGACAACGCCTCCGTCGCGTCGTCGTAGTCGTCACCGCCGCCGTCCCTTCCGCCCGCCCCTTCGACACCGGTGGTACGGACGGGTAGCACTGCGATCGTCGTCGTGTACCCCTTCGAACGCGCACGTCTCGGCGGTCGTCGTCGTCGGGGGGAGTAAGAGGGGGCGCACGCCCTACGCGCCGCCCGCTTCGTGGACCAACTGCAGCAACAGCGACGACGGTGGTAGTGGTGGTGGTGGTGAGTATGGATTTTTCGCCGCCATCATTGCCGTGTTACACACGGGGTCGGAGGGATGACGCAAAATTGTCTCCTCTCCGTGTTAGTTACGTACGTACGCACCCTGTGTACGCGGTAACAATAATAACGTTACACGATGCGCATTACACGCGTAATGTAGGACGCGTATGCCCCCGCGTGACACGACGAATCGAAAACTTTGTTTGCTCTGCGATTATACAATACAATTATTTTTTTTTCTAATTCGATATTTTTCCCTCGATCCGGGATCGGGGGATGATGACGACGGACAACTGGTCCCGTCGGTTCTCGCAACAATGGTACATTGTTTACAAAAGACGACAGCTGCTTCGTCGAAATTAAGAGGGTTATTACATACAAGTTTGAGTGTACGCGCGCGCGCGCGCGTGTGTGTGTGTACTCCAAAAACTAGACCTTATATCTAATATTGACACGGTGATATTACTATGATGCCCCTCCGATGTGTACGAAGGTCGCGTTCATTTTTAACGTTATTTTTTTTTTTTTTTTGTACCCATTTCGAAGATAGAGTACTATAATGTACTTACATATATATAATTATATAAACCTAAAAATTTAAACTTGAGCCATAGGCGTTTCGTCTCATGATAAAATAAGTAGAACGCTTCAAAGTGAATAATCCGCACCATCTATCGTGATTAATCGTCCATTTATACATGTTACATAGTAATTACCTCTTTTTTTTTATATTATACAACTCTTATTTTATGTCATTATAGGTGTTTCTTAATTTGAATAACAAAATTATTTCAACCTTAACCAGAACTTAATCATATGTTCTCTTTTTTTTTACATTTTATTATTTTTTACTAATTTAAATATATTTACTCCATATAACAGTTTATGAACATTCAAAATGAAATATGAATTTAATTTCTTAACACCGTAGATTCTTGTTATATGCCAATCGTTGATTTATCGAATTTTTTGATACTTTGAACTTTTTTTGTTCCTTTTAAAATTTGGCAAAACTAACTTTATTTTTACTTGTATTGATGGTATGTTGACATTTATTTACCTAAACAAAAAACTGAACATAATTATTATTTTAGTAATCTGATTATTGTTGTACGTAGAATAATTAATTATTTATACTTGTTTATATATAATATATATATATATATATATTATACAAACCAATTTAAATTAATTACCATTTTATGATAAATTGCATGGTTCTCATGATTGCTCTTTTATATGTACATAAACGACGAATGACTTTGTAAATGACAGAGTAAAAACATATATTTTACTAGGTACACATTTTTAACTACGCACATATATTATGTATTTTATATTTTATTGATGGAATAAATTAAATTTAAATGGTTCACTTTATCCTTTAGATTTACGAATTTTATTTTGTATTTTTTATATTTTAAAGTAAAGGGATGCATGTATCTAAACACTCTATAACCACTATTAAATACCTGTGAGTAGATTTGAAATAATTTTTAAAACTACACTTGTATATTAATTTTAGTACTTACTAATTTGATTGTGATGACTGGGGCTCTATATTAAAAACAATTATGTTACTCATGTTTTATCCTCCAGTGATATAAAGATACAAAGCAAGATAATCTTTTCATAAATAATATTAAAAATTTTACTTGGTTGGAAAATAAAAAACAATGCCTATCAATTTTAATGAAAATCTAAACAAATATTTGTCTTACATGAAATGTGATTAATTATTTGAATTAACAGGTACCTATATCAATTGTACATTGTTAAGACTATATTGATTTGGGTTGAGAAATAATGCCTATACTAATGGACACACAAGACTAATTTTATTAATAGACTTCAGTGTATTCAGGTCTTTTAAAGCGTAACAATATTATATAATGATGGGATTTCTGTAGAACATGGAATTGTAATTGTCCCTCATTATTTATACAATTAATAGTAGTTCGTTCAATAGAAGACGTGTCAAATTTGATGTGTATTTATTGAATAAATGTAAATCTCAGTTTACGATACAATTCATTACATAAATAATTTTCCGTAGTAATAACTGTATGGATGATGGAATTTCTTAATTTATCTCAAGACTAGTTATAGAGTCAGTGATTCCCAAAGTGTGTTTCAAGGGAACTCAGAATTGCGTAAAATAATCTCAAATGTTCTGCAACATGTATTTAAATATTAAGAGTTATAATTGTAATATTGTAATAATCATGGACTTTCATTAAAAAAAATGTTTGGAGTATTGTTTTTTTAATGAATTATTAAAAAATTGGGGTTGAGTCTGAGTTCGAGACAAAATTAGGTTCCACGAAACACAAACTATTTTCTAAGGGTTCCGTGATGGTAAAAGTTTGGGTACAATTATCGCGACAATACATGTATAACGCAAGAAGTAATAAATAATAGTGTAATGTTAGTTGAATTATTTTTTTTAATTTTACCATACATACCTTGGTGTATGAATTTGACTTAATATCACAATCAGGGCCGGCGAGAACTTTTGAGTGCCCCGGGGTCCTCTTTACTCGCACTTGTTTGACTCAGATATACTTAATACTTGTACATATTTTAGTTCAATAAAAATATTGTATAAAAAACGAAAATGACGGGCCCTCTCGGACGTACGGACCCCGGGGCTCTAGCCCTCCCTGCTCCATCCTCTCGTCAGCCCTGATCTCAACCGTCTGTATTATATTAAAATTGATATATTTACAGAACGTAAACAGTTATTTAAAACGACCATATTGTAGAAAGTATTTAGTGAACCAAGTTTTTTTTTACATTTCGCCGTATAAAAATGTATACTGCTACTTATCACGTGTGAAGTTAATACTTTTTATAAGAACCACCCCTCTCACACACGTGTGTATTTATTAAGGTACGGAATATTACTAATTTAAGCTCCTCGTATCTGATAATTTGAGTTCGTACCTCGCGTACGAAAACTGGTGTTCAATTTAAAATGAATTATTCAAAAATCTTATAGTATAACTTTTTAAAACAAACGTATTAAATGTTTTATAAAAAGTGAAGTAAATAAGTATATATAACGTGTATATATACATCAGTTTTAAGAATTTTGCATTGTATATGGTTGTTTCTTATATCTTAAAGACATATTGATACAGATTGTGTGTTACGTTTTTTCGATATTTTAAATATACATGGTTTCTTATTGAATTGTGTGAAAATGTATGTCTTTGTATATAAAAAAAATACTATACGATTTTGTGAACACTTTAATTTCCCGTTGAATCTGATGCTTTAGATACACGTACCGTTGAATGAAATCAATAATTATATACTATAGTTTATGATTTACCTTTTTTGTCGGACGTTTGTTTGCGATCTTAGGTGTATTATTTTCAAATCATTGTAAAAAAAAAAGTAAAATAAATCGGGGTGGATTTTTTTTTAGTCTACGCTTAGAGTAATAATAGGATCATTTAATAATAGGACGGTCGATTAATTGGGAAAATAATTTAAGAGCCAGCAAGATATATGAAGCGTCAGATAATAAAAAGAATAAAAACAACAGAAGACATGCTTAAAATAATAATAATCACTTTTGTTGTACGGTATTAACTAAACTTGGCGATAAGACGATAAAACTGATGATATGCTGTGGTATGATATCATTAGAAACGTCTTAAAAAAATAATAATAGTAATAAAATCACAGACGGTAGCACTTTTATTTATTTTTTTCTATTGCAATTTTATATCGATCTGTATGGACCTACGAAAACGATTTTATGTACTCGTTCAATTTCATTACACACACGTGTATTATAGTATACGCACGTATATTATAATAAACAACAACGCGATATTATTGCGTCTCTAATTAAAACGACACACCTCATCAATCACTGGCGAAACGATAAAAGAAGAGAAAAAAAAACCGTAAAACTAATAATAATATAAATCGACGCACGCGTAATCTGTTCCGTCTGACGCCACATGCCGCGTGCAAACGCATTTTTACACGTATATATTATGGTTTATGTGTTGATGTTCTTTGATTGAGACGAAGACTTTTACGCGTACGCGTACACATCAAGTGTATTGCGGTGGTGCCATGAACGTTTCGATTTATTTAATATTACGATTGCGGTTTCCCGACCGTTATCGGAATCGCAATTTTAACAGTCATTTTCGCCATGCCGTACACCCCCGTAGTACACTAATGTTTGTTGCCGTGCGATCATAAGGATCGTATTGTAATACGTTCGAGGTGGTGCACTTGTGCCCCGAAAACTAAAAATAATAATACAATTGTTTACTACACCCGCGGCACGCTTGAACGCGCGAAACGATATAACGTAATACGTGTAATACGTTAACGAGTATTTTTCGTTTTTTTTTTTTTTTTTTTTTTTTTTGTTTTACCGTTGTCGTTTTTGTTCACAGGTAATGGCAGAGTGATCGGCGCGCCGCTACGCATGCGCCGTCCAGAAGACCAATCGCCGAGCGCCGCCAGTGCCGGACTCATGATGGAGGTGGTAAGACATTCCGTATAAATATGCTTGTAGTACACACGTACACGTATACGATATACGTACCATATATGGATATTTGTTAACATAATGTATGCATACACCGTAGCTTTGAGTCTACCTCATCCCCCGTTCGCCGTCCAAACTCTCACCCCGACGATCCTACTGGGGTGTGGTGCGCTCGGTATTAATGTTAATCACCGGTCCCGTAGTCCAACGGGAACCTATAGTTAAGGTGTCTGTCACGCGCGACATCGGCCCTTTTTATATTGTTCATACGTATAAATATGCTCGGCCACCGGGGCACCACTCCGTTATATGTTATATACGTGTACGTAAGTTTATGTTACTCTGAAATAATGGTTGATTTCGTGTCGAATTATGATTTTTTTTTATTTTCTTTTGTACCGAATATATGGTCAATTTTACGATACACGTAATGTATGTATTACCGGGCTGCCGGTATGGTAATTGTTATTGGGGTGGAGTAATTTACCGTCGATAAATTTTTCATTTTCATTTTTTTCCCCTATAATGGAATTGTTTTATTTTTTCATCAAATCCACGATAAAATATTTATAGTTTATGAAATATTATATGAATATTTTTCTATACATCATAAATGTATCAGCAGTATGATTTGTTCGGTCATCATGATGTGCGTTGCACGCGTTTGTAGGATTTATTTTTTAGACATGTTGCTAAAAAGATGTTTTTATTTAATTTTCGTAGAGTCTATTAGAATAGTTTCTGTCAATATTTAGTATTATATGTGTACGTGTATAAGAATTTGGATTTATACGTTGAAGTTAGTATTTATGCTTTATAAAAATAGGTTTTATGGTTTGTGCACAATGTATATTGTGTTGGATTAATTTAGTTATTGATAAAAATTACGTGTACGTAGTTTGTGATACATATGATTTGAACATTCTTCAAAATACATATTTATTTTTAACGCAGGTAACAACATACATGTGTACAATACACTTCACCCATGACTGCACTTGAATATTTAATGGTATAAAGCTACATAAAATATAGATCGTACATGACGACTGAAAGGGGATATCAGCAATATGAAATCACACGAAGATACATATTAACGCGTATCCCTCCATAAGCGCCTCTTGCACATTGTTCATTATTATTATCTGCTTATTCGGGGCCATTTAGACCCATCACCATTTATTTTTATATATTGTATATTCGGTCCAGAATTGTACAAAACCCATTGTGACCGCGCGTTTATTAATTTTTAAGTAGTTTTTTTTGTAAATGTTCATAATAATTCATATACTGTAATACTGAAATCTAAAATAGAAAGAATTTTTAAGATTGAATTTAAAAAAAAAAAAACGTGTATATTACCAACCTTGGTTTAAGTAAACAACAACTTTTCTGGTAATTTTAGTTTTCCTAAATTATTTTAAGATCGGAAAAAAGTAACTACAAACATGATGTACAAGAAATGTAAAACATGTAAACAGAATAAACATTATCCTTATCGGTGTTTGTCCATAATCACCACGATTAATTTTCGTGCACGTGGTCTAAAAATAAATTCTAACATGATCGACTCTGAAATCGTCCGCGATCGACCGTTTGACCGCCCCTGACATATATGATATGCGTGTTTGCAATGGCCAGACCTGTAAAATCTAGTTCCGTTTTAAATAATCTAGTTCCGTTTTAAATGTATGGTTAAATCATTAAAAATAATTACTAAAAAGTAAAAATAATGATTAAATAAAACAGAACTAAATAATAAATATTTTCACATAATATAATTATTCATATAATATGTCTGACAAAAACTAAGGAATAATGTTTATTATATAATATCCATAACTATTAGTACCTGTGTAATTGTTTGTTATGTTATAGACCTTTTTGAAGGAAATCAGTATATTATTTACTAGCTATATATATATATATATATAGCTACTACAGTAGCTAACATACTATAACATTACTAAACATGTACGTTCTCTAGGTAGTGTATTGTGTATACGTCACTCCTTGTCTTCGTATCCTAAATGAAAATTTCAATTTTCCTAATGAAAAATTTTATTGGCCATACCCGCGAAAAAAATTTTAGACACGCCTATGACATATGTATATATATATATATATATATATATATATATATATATATTATCTTTTATATGTACGTGAGAGTCCGTCGTGGTTGGGGTGTTCGTGGTCGTCGGCGTCGAGGGGTACACACGGGGGTAACACGAGGGATGATGAAATTCGTTGCGTATTAATGGACTCCGTATCCGGGTGTCGTGGGCGTCGTCGTCGTCAACTTGCTACGATCGATGCACATCGTTCGGATGTCGGCGGCAGCGGCGGCGGTACACACGTTTCGGATATGTTTACGTGTAATGGGCGCTGGTCACGACATCGCAGGCGGCACGACAACCTGTCTATAAACGCTTGTGCTCTCCGGCGCGCGCGCTCGCACTCGCAACCATATGCACGGTCTGGTGTCGTCGTCGTCAAGTCACGAATACGTAATATTACAATGTACACGAGGTCGTCTCGCGTCGGGGAAAACGAATCTTTTGAAACGATTCCGTCCGTCCGCAGTGTTCCCCGTGGGGGGGGTACACATTACTATCGAGGGGAGGAAGCAATAACACACGGGCTGGTACGGAAAACCGGTCGCCCGTCCTCTATGTCACGATCTTTTTTTTCTTTTTTTTCTCTCTCGTCTATATATGTATACAAATTAAACGTTTCTTCCACCGTCGGTATAATTACACGCACACACACACACACGAGGAAGAGGCGGTCTCTGTCTCTCTCTGGAGGGGTATGTCCGTAAACGGTTTTTATTTTTATTTTATAAACTCCTAAAATCATCTCGGTATTTCATTATTATTATTTTCCAGCCAAGGTCCCCCCCACCCCCCGACCGCCGTGTGTCGTGTGTGTGCAGTAAAACGACGATACCGCATGGCAGCCCGAAGAATTAGTTTACACGTATACACGTGTATGTAGGTCCGAACGAGAGAGACACGCACACGCACCCAACAACCGTGTAATTTCGCCACCTCCCACTAATCAAATCAATGCGATTTAAATGTATATTACACGGCTACACGGGTCTTTAAATGTAATATTATTACTATTATTATTATTAGTAGACGTACTCGCGTATCTCGTTCTCCGGTTAGGGTAGTATTGCCTCGGGTAGTGTAGTGTACGCATATATATAAATATGCGGGTAATTTTGGGAAGGTCTCTGCGTGTAAAACGGTTTTTTTTTTTTAATACCCTAAAATTATACCGCGCAAACGACGTTGTCTTTTCTGGAATATTATCCGCCGCCGCACACTTGTAAACTGTTCTGCTGCCGCGGACGGTGTGTATTTATGTACGTATACGTTTATAAGAGCGGTATACGCCGAAGTATAATAATATAATAAATACCTCTCTCGTCCACCCGTCACACGTAAAGATGACGACGACGACACAATATAATAATATAATAGCTGCCCTCTTTTTTCACGGTTCTCCGCAATATAATAATCATAAAAAAAGAATCCCAACGGAGATCGTATCGAAATCCTTCATTGTCTTTATAGCCTATTAGGTATACGCAAACGATTTATAATTTCGGTTTTTTAAATTATAGGCGCGCGCGAGTATTATGTTTTCATTTTATACGTTTAAACATAAATTCGTCCATACTTACGTGTACAATTTACTTCGTTATTACACGACCGTCGCGATATTTTAATACACTTATGATGACCGTTTAAAAGCAATAACGTATAATAAATACGAATAAATGTTCACCCTCGTGGTATATACGTTTACATAAATGTAGGTGCTGTATAATATTATGGTGTACACGATTAGCGTTGCCGCGCGCCGTCGTCGTGTTTACATGCGTCCTCGTGGAATACCTGCTGCGTTTCAACGTGATGTTTTCCCTTCTTTTCGTCGGTTTTTTTTTTACTGTCGCACAATGGACGATAACGGATTGTCAGAATCACATTGTGTGCGCGACAGAATCGTGTGTACGTTTACGTATGAAGACATCACACGATTCCACCGTCGTACACACGGTAGTAGTTGCGCTTGTACCATGTGTAATAAGAACGCGCGTGGAGGCCGAAAAATCGATACGTTAAAAACCGATGACAGTTTTTTTTTTTTCAACTGAAATATTTTTAGTCTGATCACAATATCATCGACCTTGAGTTTCATTTCGTTTTATTTTTTTTTTACGTGTCCACAGCTGTACAATGTTTTTCGATCAGAAATATCGTGACCAAGGTCGTGTTTTCTTTAAGAAAACATTTGTTTTACACGAAACTCATTTGCCGGATGCCAAATTTCTTTTTGGACGTTTTCTTTGTATGCACACAGAAGAGTTGAACGAAAATATTATAATCGAGTGTGTTTAATGGCAATTGCATTGTCAAAATACAAGTATACACTGAAACACTATAACATAATGCTGTTTGGTCGCGACTCAAGATGTTGAAATAAATGCGCGCGTGCTGACATTTCGGTAATTACAATCTGGTGGCTATTTTTCGCAATCTAACGTTCCCTGTACGTACCTGCATAGCATATTTATGTGTATAATAGTTTAATTAACGTATTGTAATATGCATAAATTGTGTATTGTATATATTCATATGTGTGTGTGTATGCGCATAAAATAATATTTGAGACATTATATATTGGCTATGTCCTATTTTATGTTTCCTCCTCCGTTCTCCATTTGTTGGTCTTTATACATTTTCATTTTCATATACTAAAAATAAAAATAAAATAGCACGCACACGATAATCATTGAAGTTATATAGAAATTTATGTGTGATAAATGTAGATTTAATATGATTTATAATATCTTTATTGTACATATTTTGTAATATAGTGTTTGTCATTAACACTTAAAGTAAAACAAAACTACGAGTATGCGGAAATTCGTTTTAAAGTAAGCTCACACAGCGTCTTATCGATTATAAATAAAATTATAA